GAAGCATTGGAGCTTTTGTTGACAATGTCTTTCAAGGCACTCAAAAAGCCTTCTGGCTGGTTCAGATCATATGATGACATTTGGCTGCTGTCGCTCTTCTTGGCATTTTGTGTGAGCTTCATGTTGGTATTGCGAATGCACACCTCACCTGCAAGGCTTGGTAGCTGAGGCAAAGTCTTGAGACATGGTGCATCATCTCCATAGACCTTCCTGATCCATTCATCACCCATGTCTTTGGGAGAGTCAGGATAGGTCTTGCATGGTGCCACATTGGACTTGACCTGGCTTGTCTGAAAGAGCCTGGTGAATTGGGTGGTGAGCATGTAAGTGTAATCACCATCTGGCATTTGCATACCATGCCACAGCATTGACTGCACCAAGAGTGCAACACAGGATCTCTTGGTATCTTCTTCCAATGATGTAAGTCCAATCATTCGAAGTCTGGCCACAACTATGTGTGGAGCTTTAGAGATTTCTCCAGTCATAAGCTGTTGTAGCTCATCTTTGGTGAGGTAGGCAGGCACATTGGTCAGTGACTGTGGAGACTTCACAATCTTGGTTCCACTCTGGCCTTCCTGACTGGAAGCTGCCTTCTCCATGAGCTTGTCTTTCATCCATTGTTTCTTCTCATCATCTAAAGATGATTTCTCTACTGCTTCAAGCATGGTCACAAAGTCTGATGCCATCAAACCTTGACTGCAAGATGTCTTTTTCAACAATGCAGTCACAAGACTATCCTGAAGTGTTTGGGCAGCATTGAAAGAAAGTAGCTTCTCCACATCTCCCAACTCAGCCACAAAATCTTTGGCTGTCCATGCCATTGGGGACACAGGGTTGTCAGTTGCACTAAAAAAAACTTACAATAGTGAATATAGATTTATTTGTTTTGCTCATTGGCTATAATGATGAACTTGTGTTGAATACACACCAGCATGAAAAAAACAATTGCCTTTGAGCAATGGCAATTGCACCAAGAATAGCATTCCAACAAGCAATCACAATAGCCATTATGGCTCCAACAGCCTACCATGGTTTCAAGCTCATGCCATCAACAAAGCCTATGGCTCCAAAACAAATCCAACAACCAAAGCCAATGGCTCTATGAATGTTAAAGAGCTTACTGCCTAGCACAACACTCAATCAAGAACAATCACAACAGCCACTGTGGCTCCAACCCAAGTCCAGCTCACCAAGAAAAAAGAAAATTATGCTATAAACAAATCCAACACTAAAGTATGTGGCTCTATGGGTATACAAAGGTAAAATATAGATTTATATATATTATTAACTTAAGTATAGTCTATCAACAAAGCATGTTTAGATATAATTTTTATAAATATATTTATTAAACTATATTTGTTTTTCACAAAATCAAAATACATACATATTGTTTAATTTGTGTTAATATTTTTCTTAAACAATTACTAATTTAAATCTAAGCATTATGAAATCAAATTCAGCCCACTAAATTAGATTTTCAAAATTTAGATATCTAATTCAGTTGAAATCTAATTCAGTAGGCTGAATTAGATTTTAAAATTTTGGAAATCTAATTCAGTAGGCTGAATTAGATTTTAAATTGTTTGAAATCTAATTCAGTAGGCTGAATTAGATATTTGCTGTACTAAATATAATATAGTTGATGTATACTATTACATATAACTTGTAAAACAACTAAAAAAATAATATTAAGCCAAGATTCTCATCTGCTCCAGCTCCAAAAAAGAAGAAGAGCTTATCCAAAGGCTCAGTGATAGGGAAGCAGTTGAAGAAGCATGACCATTTTGCCTGGTGGAATGGAGTGTTCAACTCCTCCTGCACAACTACAGGTGCAGCCATTGCCAAATGCTCCCAAGTCTATACAGCCAGTAACCTACAATGACAAAAAGTATCATGGGCATGTTGCTTATGTAAATGTGTGACTTTTTTGGCTATATTGAATGATATTCTACAAGTGGCTTGTATCATTGTTGTCTATTTTTGACCATCTCAAAAAACAGCTGCAAATATATAAAGATAAACAATTTGTTAGCACACAATGATCAAATAAGTGTCAAAGATACAATCAGCAAACCAAAGCCCTGATGGCTCCAGAGGGTTCCAAAACAATCAAGCATCTTTCATGCTCCAACTGGTATTTTCAACCACAAAGCCAACAAGGCTCAACAAACACAATAATATACATATACATGGCCCAGCACTCTGTAACCTTTTCCTCAGGAAGAGTGAGGTGAGAAGAGGTTGCCTCGTCCTGGCCCCATGGATACATCCTGTCATATCCATTTGCTCTCAATGTGGCCACATGGTTGTCCACCAGCTGCCTCATGATAGGATCTTGTAGGTACCTTACATCTCCAACATATATATAGTTTATATGTTCAATTGATTGCACCAACAATGAGGGAAAATAATATAAAAGTTTTATAGCTGTTATAATCACCCAGATGCAGTGTCACCAGCTCATCAGTCTTCTGCCAATTCTCTGTGATGTAGGCCTCAAATGCAATACATTCAATGGAACAATGTCAAAAAGCAATACTGGCTCTTAACCACCTCTCAACTATACAACTTGCAAGGGACAAGTCAAAAAGCCATGTTGTCCAACAAACATGTCAATGACACATACCAAAACCAAACAGCCACAATGGCTCCAAGTGGTATGATTTAGACCAGGCACTCCAATCAAAGGGACCATATAATTCTTCCAGCCAGATGGTACCTTGTTGCCTGACTGTCCTGCCATCCACATGGCACTGGCACTGCCCTTCTGGCCTTTGCCACCCTCATGCTCCACCTTCCCTTTCCCATAGGGTCCAAAGTCAGGTGCTCTTGGAGGAGGAGGTGGCATCAATGGTGCAGGCACACCTGATGAACTCGCTTTGGCTGAAGTGCAATCCTGCCAGCAATCAAACAAAAAGCCTTAAACATGCACCAAAAAACATTAAACAAAATAAACACACCATCACCACAGGTAACAGTGCAGTATTTTTTGTAAAGCCACACCTTGGCCAATTCAGCTTGTGCAATCTCCAGCTTCAGCTGATCATTCTCAGCCTTCAGAGCATCATATTGCTTTTGCAATTCTGCATACATCACTTGGCTGCCCTTGAACCTGCCAACCAAGGAGTGGCTCATCTTTGCCACAAAAACAGTGGCAGAAGTGAGGACCCACTCTGCAGCCACCTTGCTGTTGTGAGGGATGAAGATTTCACCTGAAGGAGACTTGTCCTTGTCGAGGATCTTGCAATAGCATTCCATATTGGGCCAAGCAACCCCATCTGAAACACATTGTGCACTGATGTACCATGCAGCATTTGCTGGGCTGCACCACAACCATAGATCAGAGTCTTTCTTCTTGATGGCCGGAATTCCATTGATCAGGGCATCTGTCAGCAGCCAAGCCCCTGTGAGCAGCTGTGTAGTCTTCCTGAGCTGGCTAGTTACATTGGTTCAACATTAAAAGGACATGTCAAAAACAATCAGCCACTTTGGCTCCAAACATTAACCAACAAATAATCTTAACCACAAGCAGCCACCTTGGCTCCAACAATGAAACAAGCAACCTACATCACCTACAAGCAGCCATTCTGGCTCAATGCTATGTGGTGAACAACTTGTGTCAACCAGCCATTTTGGCTCCATGCTATGTGATAGACAACTTGTAGCAACCAGCCATTTTGGCTCCATGCTATGTGGTAAACACATTGTATGAAACACAGACAGCCATTTTGGCTCCATGCTCTGTGAAAGCAATTTTTTCAACAAGGAACCCTATAGCCATGCTGTCTTGCTCAAGGCTTTGCCTTTGCAAACTTTCCAGACTTGTAATAAGTCCTCTTACCAGACTCTGCACAGTCTGCACAATCATGTTCCAAAAAGTTGAAGCAAATCTCCAGATTGCTAGGCTCCATCAGGATGGCCACATCAGAGCGCTTGCTTGCAGGCCACAAAACATCCAATGTCCCAGCATCATTTGGCAAAGTAATTTGCACAGAGACTGGGTGCTCTGCAGGCCCCATTTTTTTATGTCTCTTCTTTTCCCTTCCATCATCTTGAAACAGCTCCTTGTCATCTTCATTACCTTGGTCTTGGTCATGTGGCCTCCCAAAGGTTGCTGCATGGACTGTGCTCACCAAAGCCTTCATGTTGGTCCCCCCTGCAAGGGACATGTTTTTTGTTTGGTGGCTTGTGCAAATCAGCTTGGTGATGGCATGATGGGATGCTCTTATTTTGAGAAAGCATTGCCCACCAGCAGCCACAACCACCAAATCCTCAGGGATGACAACAGCTTCACCTTTCCATTTGATGCTCCACAACTGACCAATTTCAACTGCCATGGCTGGTTTGCAAGGGACAACTGTCCAACTACAGGATTCCTTGAAGAATCTAAGGCCTCAAAGTGATATATGGCCAACCAACAGCCCATTGGCAAGTACTCCAAGAAGCATGAGGGACCCACAAAGACAAACAGCCCAAGCTCCTTTTCACCTCATGCAGCCAAACTGGCTCCCTACTCCAACATTGATTTTTCATCTTGCAAGTGATCAGTGCAGGGCTGCCAGGATCCTACAGTCCTAAGACCTCTTCTTTGGCTTGGGATCAGCCTTGCCATCAGCTGGGCGCTTTACTGAAGAAGATTTTGCTTGCTTCTTGAGCAAGCTTTCATGGGCACACAGCAACAAGTCACCTGGCTGTACTGCTTTGCAGTTCACATACACAGGCAGCTCAATGCCTTGCACAGTCTTCTTTGTAAGCTCCATTGTGACAAGGTCTTCATCTTGTGTGGCTTTGACATACCAAAATGGTATGAGCACACTCTTCTCATCAAGCTTTTCAAATTCTGAGACAATCTTGGGTGGGCTGATGACAAAATTGCCAACCAAGAACTTTGCCTTCTCCTGGTCTTTTGCTTGGCACAGGGTTCCATAGGGCTTGAGCACCAAAGCACCTTCAGCAAAAGCCTTCAGGGAGCAAACCCCAGGTGGGTTGGACACAAAGCCAATAGCTTTTGCATTCACAGGGCTGGTGATAAAAGCCTTGTGCAAAGAGATCTGTGTTTGATGCAAGAGGATGCTGTCTTGGAGGGCAGTAGATGTGTGGCCCAAATGTTTCTCTGCAACCTCTGGAGGTAGCAAAGCTGGCGTGGGCTTCTTGGTGTGCCTCCACTCCTTCAAATCATCGCCTAGAGGCACTTCTTGCACATTGGCAGAGCCAACAAGGGGCACATGCTCAAACCTGAGTTGCTCTTCCAATCAGTTGTACACCAAAGCACAATTCCAAACTATATGTCTAGGCCTATATGCCTTACATTCAGAGGAAAAAACACGATTGGAAAAAGGTTGGTGGCTGGAGGGTTTGCATTGGAAGGCTTACCATCAGACAAGAAGCTTGGCTCCAGATTGCTGCATATCTAACAATTTGAAGATGGTGGCACCATGGTACTTGGCATTCTGGTAATGCTCTCCCACCTTCAAGTGCTTATGCTGGAGCAAGGCAATTTCTGCCTCATTGGCACTGAGCAAATCATGAAACTCCACCTGGCTGGCAGGAGCTTCCTTCCCTGGAGCATCTTTGCTGCTGCTGCTGGACCCAGGTGGGCAGAGCATTTCAGCTGCAAACTGATCAGTGATTTCCTTCATATTCATCCAAGGCTTGGATTCCCTCCCAGCCTTTTGCTTCTGGCATAGGAATAGCACAAGCCTGATGCAATACCTGCCAAAAACACCAAGCTTCTTGCGTTCTTCCAAATGGCCTGCTTTCTGGACAATCTTCCACCCATCATGGAGCAACAGCTCAACTTCCTTCAGTGCATTGCTGCATTTGTTCTTGAGGCGATCAAAGTCACCCTTAACAAGTAGCTTGCTCACCTTGTCAACAACTTTGCTGGCACTCAACTGGGTGGCTACCAAGGCCACCCTGAAGCAAGGAAGCACAGTGCCTTGCAGCCTGAAGTCATAATGGGTCACCATCCGCATAAACTCTTCTCCAAGCAAGGCACTTTCACCATATTGCTTGCTAAATGCCACCAAGAAATCTGCCATGGGCATTTCCTCCCCTCCAGTGTAGAGCTTTGCAAAATATGCAATGGTGTCAATGTACTCCTTGCATTGTGGCTCCCCAATGCATGTGTCAGCAACTGCCTGCTCAACAGGCTTGCCCAACTTAATGTGCTTGCTGATGGTGGCCAGGCATTCCAGCTCTGTAGCTGCAACTTGA